GAACTGCCACAGGCGAGTGGTGGCCCCTGTAAGCCAGGCTAAGAACTTGGGGGTGTGACTGTGTGCGACAATTCATAAGAAGCCTGAAAGGAAGGGAGGCCCAGGGCCCAAGCTGATACAGGAAGTGAGACCAGGCTGCAGAAAAAGCTGAGAGAAGCAGGGCCCAACAGAGACCCACACAGGGTGGGCCCATCGCATGCAGGTCTCAGTAACATGGGGCTGGCTGAGGTCCCTCACTGGAGACTCCTCCTAGGTCGGCACACCCGTCTCAGGCTGAGCAGCATGTCGGCAGCACTCCCAGGACCCTCACTGCTCTGAGCCATGTCCTGTTCCTGCCCACAGGAGCTCTGAAGGTCAATGCCCCCTCCCCATGCCCAGACGGGGGCCAATCAGAGCCTCAGAATGGTTGACTGGCCCGGAGATGCTCTGTCCTGTCCACATGCCCGTCCTCAGATGGCCCATGGAGGGGCGAGGCGACTAATGTCTCTGTACCTCTGGCTTCTCATCTGTGACAGGAAGGTCTTTCCCCTCCACTGGCCCAACTTGCTCCCCTCACTGCTCTCCCCTCACCCTCACCTCTGCTCTAAGCAGGACTCGGCCTCAGGACTCGGCACTCTCATCTGTATCTTGTCAGGTGATGGCGAGGATCCAGTGCCCCTGCCTGGCACTGCCATTACCGAAGAAATGTCCGAAATGAGTTGTACTCCACCCTGAAGACCTAGCACACTGTCAAAGGCAGGTCGGGATCCAGGGCAACCTGTGGTCACATACCAGCACACCCCTTCTCCCAAACATCCCTGAGCTTTGGCCACCGTGGCTCAGGGGGGCCCCAGGGTCAGTGGTGCAGCAGCCCCAGGCCCTGCCTGCAAGGCTCCCGGGCTGCGAGGGTGGGGAAGAAATACCCAGACACTGACAGTGACCTCACAGGGAACCAGGACTGGGGCTCGGGGAAGCCAGCAGCTGTGGTCACCCGGGATTGGGGGCAGGGGTGGAGGACTGGGCATGGTGCCTGAAATGACAGGGCATGGTGCCTGTGGCCGGCGGAAGAATGGCCCCCACAGATACTCACATCCAAATCTCTAGAGCCTGCGACTTGGCGTGTATGACACTAGGGACTTGCAGATGTGTTAAGAATCTTAAAATGGGGAGATTATCTTGGCTTATCTGGATGCATAATCACAAGAGAAGGGGGAAAAAAGCCCGGGATACAGCTCAGTGGCACAGTACCTGTCTAGCAAGTTCAAGGTCCTGAGTTCGATTCCTGGTCAAAAAAAAAGAGGGAGGCAGGCTGATGCTGTGTATGTGTGTGGTGTCTGTCTGTCTCAGCCATAGGGAGCATTCGATTCCCAAGGGAGGGGAAGCAGAAGGGAATCTGACCGGGGAAGAGCACAAAGCACTGGTGAAGGGAGCAGAAAGTGGGGTGAAGTGGTCACAAGGTGCCAGCAGCCGTCGGAGCAGGAACAGACAAAGATGGATTCTCCCTGGAGCCTCTAGAAGAAACCAGCCCAGGTTTCAGCCCCGTAAGACTCGTGTCAGACTCCTGACATCAAAAACTCTAAGAGAATGAAGCTGTGTTGTTTTAACTAACTTTCTGGTCTTTGGTTACAGCAGAGAAAGCAAGAAATGCTGTTCTTTGTTTCTTTGAGATAGGGTCTGGATGTGCACCAGGCTGGCCTCAAACTCCTGATCCTCCTGCTTCAGCCTCCTGAGTGTAGGATTGTAGGAGTGTGTCACCAAAGCCGGCCTCAAAATACTGTTCTTAAAGAGCAGTGGGTGGTGGGTAAAGGAGCCCCTCCCCTCCTGCTCGGGGAAGCCACCCTAAGGATGAAGTTACTACATCTTGAATTGCGCCCATGTACAAAAAAGTCACCCTGAACTTCATGTTTTACTTGTTATCCCACCTCACCAACTGGCAGACGCTTCCCAGCAGTGGGGTCACCACGGCAGGGACTGGCTAAGCAGAGAGGGAGATCAGATCAGCAGCTCTCAGACTTTGTCCCTCAGCCCTGGGCTCACCTGGCAGTGCTGGACAGCTGTGTACCAATGGATGGGTTTTGGTCTGCGCTGGCTGCTGGCGCCTTCGCCCACAGCTGACCGTATGTCCCACTGTGACAGAAAACCACAGGCCACACTCACAGGCTCCCTTAACTTCAGTCACTGACACCTCATGTCCCCAGCTCTGGGAAAGCTGGGGTCACTTCAAACGTCTGAACAGCGAGAATGGGGAGTGGTAACTCAGCCATTCCAGGCCAGCACACACACACATTCTGCAACTTCCTGTCCAAGCCTGAGGGCTGGCTTCACCGACATCCCGGATTTGAGCCCCAAAGGGACTTGGCCCATTTTGCCTTCAGCGAACAGAGAAAGGCAAGGCTGAGGCCGGGGACGTCAGCAGTTGCCTGGAATGGAAGGAGGCAACCCCAGGGCAGCATCTGCAGCAGGCCAGGAGAGGATGCAGAAGTGGGGGCCTTGAAGGCCAAGCCTGGGGGCCCAAGGCGTGCCAAGGAATGTCCTGCCAAGGAAGGACAAAGGGATAAAGGGGCAGAAGAGGTGTTTGGGGGATTTGAGAGGTGGCTAGCAGGGGCTCCAAATGCACTCAGAAAGCTTGAATAAATGGGGACAGAGACAGGGCAGGGGCCCGAGGTAACAAGACCAGCTGCAGACAAATGGCCATCCAGACAGACCACCATTGCTGCCCAGGCCACACAGCTCCAAGGGAAATGGGTCATGGAACCTGACCGCTATAGCTGGGTCCCAGGGAGATGTTCACATGACATACTCTGGGTGCCCAGCTGTCCCACCCTGCCTCTCCCCAGACAATAAGAGGTCAGCAGACTCGGTCAGGCACAGACAAACCACTTAGGGTGCGGGCCTGCACAGATCAGCAGCTCCCCTCACCCATGAAAGCCAAAGGGGGCTCCGATTTGATTTCAGGGGAAGCGATACCACTGCCTTCCACTCTTATCCTAAATTAAGCCCCTCCTTCCTCCGCCCTCTCCTCTGTGATGGGACAATGTGATGCTGACTGTCAACTCCTATTCATTACAATGGCTACCAAACACCAAGTACTAGGGAAGTACTTCTAGTAACTTGCTCTAACTTCATCATCATCCCCCAACCTCTGTGATAGGCAGCTTTCACCCCCATTGCACACACAGGGAAACTGAGACAGGAGAAGCACTCTGCCAGTAGGCAGGAGGGTCAGGGCAGGACTCGGAGAAAGAAGACAGGGCCTGCAGGTAGGAGAATGGTGGAAAGTACCTCCCTGTGTCCTCCAGGAGATCCAGGGGCTCTTGTTTGGGGACAAGTGATCAGGGCTATGCTAAGAACCTGCAAGCAAAGCAGATGCAGAGGCAGCCAGAGACAGTACTGGCCTCAGAGCAAAGTCTCCAATGCCCCCAACGAACCCAGATCTTTTACAACACTGAGTCCAAATCTGACCTCATGAAATTCCCCCAGATCTGTCCACCCCAAGTGGTGGTTCCCATCTCAGAGAGCACCCCACCTATCCTTCCCCAACACTAGGGCCCTGTGCACCTCATGGCACCTCTCTGCCTCCTCCAGAGGCCTCTATCAGGTCCTCTCCTCTCCTGCCAAGCCTAGTCCAGGGAGGCATGCAGAAAGGACAGGGAGCCTCTCCCTGCTGTGGCCTCCTGCTCACTGGCCTGGACAGCAGCCCCACCACCATCACCATGACCATAGCCAAAGATGGCCCTTGTCAGACACACACCTGCCCATGTAATCCTGACCTGTCCAGCTATCCCTCGGCCGCACACCTCCAAGCCTTTGCCTGCGTTGCGCCCTAGGCGGCAATGTCCCGCCCTTTCTTCCCTTTGGTGAACTCCTTCCAGACCCAGCTCTGATGACAAGTGGACTGGTCCCCAGTTCCCAAACAAAGATGGGCCCCACCTAATTCCCTGGGGCCTCCGGGTGGGGCCTTATCTGTTGTCCCATCAGGCTCTCCCGCAGAACAGAGGCTCCTCAGGGCAGACTCCTCTGCCGCAGCACTCAACGCTGGCACTCAGCTCTGGCCTGGCAGGGGGCAGCAGCAGCTGTGCCCACCCTACCCCAGGATTCGGGGTGAGGTGCAAGCACCAGTCCAAGGACTATGGGAAGTCTTGACCCTTGCCGGTTAGTGGTGCCCCCAGGAGGCCTCACCCGGCACTGAGTTGCCCTCAGCGCTCGCTTTCCAGTGCTGGCACCGGGAAGGATCCCAATTCTCGCTCCAAAGTCCTAGGAGGGTGGCTCACTTCACCCCACTGTGACCCACTCTATCTTCATGGGTCAGGGGCTGGATCCCCCACCATGGCACCTGCTAGTGATCTGCCCTCCTTCACCTCTGGTCCCCCAGGTGGGTCTCCCCTGACACCCAGCCGCGAGGGGTGCAGGTGAGAACCTGGAGAGGATCAGAGAAGAGCCATTCCCTGCCAGATCCCACCCCATCCCGCCCCACCCCCAACACCGCACACCCCGCGCTGGCACCGCGGAGAAGGGGCCCCCATCCAACCCGGGGAGGAGGGCGAAGTAGGCGACGCGGTTCGGACAGCCGGAATCTCGGTCTTGCCCCCTTCCCCAAGCGGTGTGTAGAGAGGGTGGCACCCAGAAGGGGCAGAGGGGGTAACAGGAAGAGGGATTTACAAGGAAGAGGAGGAAATAAACGGTGCTGTTGCCAAGCCGGCCCCAGTAGCTTTAGGAAAATGACTCCGGAACACCCAGGGGGAGGTGGGAACACCCGGGGGTGTTCCAGAGGCGGAAAAGGCCCTTCGCCGCGGGCTGAGGGCGAAGGTGGGGTTGAGCCCTGGGCGCCCGGACCGATCCTCAAGGCCCCCGCCCCCTCAGGCCCTGGGCCGGCGCTCACCTTCCGACCCCGGCCCGCGGGACGTGCAGCCCCCTACTCGGATCGCGCTGGGGAGGCGGCGCCGGCCCGCGCTGCACCTGCACACACACCCCTGGAACACGAGCGCGCTCGCACACGCCTCCCTCGGCGCAGCGCCTCCTACCTGCCGCCCCGCCGCGGCCCGGGCCGGCTCCGGGGACGCAGGCACCGCGCGGGCAGCGAGCTCAGGCTGGACCGCCTGCGCTGGCCAGAGATGCAGCCCCGGAGGCCCTGGGGTGGGGGCTGAGCTCGGGCTCCCGGGATTCTGCCCACCGGCCCCGCCCCGCAGCCTCCGCCCAGGGGCAGCCAGAGGCGTGGTCTCGGCGGCGGGCAGGGCTGCGCGCATGCGAGCTGG